GTGTCTTTTATCCGTAAATTAGAAATATTGTTTTGCATTTTAAAGTGGTGACTATTATAGAATTTGAGAAGGTTGTTTTTTATAACGTCGACTACTTTATAAAAGTTTTGTTTTGTAAACTTTTATGTTGATTAAAATTCCGTTGTGCCTGGTGATACCGTCCCCTACTGATGTCACATTGGCCTCCGAACCAGGGCTCAGATCCGGGTCTACGTCGGTAGATACCATGATTGACACGCTTCAGGCCAAATGCTGATTTTGCTGTGAGTTAGAAAACGTTGTTAATATTATGTCCAATGAGGTTTACATCGTCATTACAAATATCACCGGGCACCAAGGAATCAATGGGAGACATCATACAAGAAATATCACTGTTTTTGATTGTACAAAATCGTCAGCATGCCTCTTATCCCAGCGTCTCAGAATTCCCGTGGAGTCAGTGTTGTCAATTTCAGAGTCTGATTGACAGATGTCCCTTGTTGATTGGGTTTGACCCGTGATATTGTTAACATTTGTTGATTCACATTTTAAAAGCAATTTCAGAGCGCATTGGGCATCAGATAAAATAGGATCAAATTTTTCAACTTCAAAATCTGAAACATCTGAATCTGAAATTTGAAGTGCCTAGAGAAGAGACGGTATAATCAATGCCACTGCAATTTTTACATGTATTTTCCATACACCCGTATCTTGACCAACTCTGCCATTTGCTATAAACAGTGAGTTATTTTTACACATGTATGTGAGTTTATGTCCATGATTATTCACTCAACCAGAATCACTAGAACACCTTGTGTCTGAAATGCCTAGGTCAGATAAGCAATCAGTGTCATTTACTTCATCGATTATATCATTTGGTATACCCAGGTGTTTTGACATAACACTTTCAAAATAAACGATATCACTCATATCCTTGGTACTGGCATTAAAATCTCCAACCAATATTACATCAAAGCTATCTCTATGTTTTAAAATATCAACTTCCAAACAAGCAAACATGCTGTAAGCACAATAAGGAGATCCCTCATGGCGAATGTACTCACATCCTTACAATATATCTTTGTCCCTTTTAATCAAATGATATGAAAGTTTTATCCATAGGACACAACCACAATTAGTCCTTGCGTCTGTGACCAGGTGAGACATTTGTCTTTTCACAATAGCAGCTAGACCCCTGATCTTGTGGAGGAGTTCCTGTTCTTGGTGTACACATCAAACAAAGGCAGATTTACAGTATCAGTATCATTAATGTTTAACCTCATTGTGCCCTCTTCCCAAATGTTGTTATAGTGTATGATAGGGGATTAAGAGACACGGATCACTTAATCCCTTGGTATAGTCTGTGTCATTAAAGTGAACCCTCTTCTGGGGGTGAACTCTGTTCAATTAGTGTCTAACTGTTATTTGATAATAATAAGTGAACAGTTTTCTCATGTACATTATTTGATGATAATAGGTGAACAGTTTTCTCATGTACATGATTTGATGATAATAGGTGAACAGTTTTCTCATGTACATGATTTGATGATAATAGGTGAACAGTTTTCTCATGTACATGATTTGATGATAATAGGTGAACAGTTTTCTCATGTACATGATTTGATGATAATAGGTGAACAGTTTTCTCATGTACATGATTTGATGATAATAGATGAACAGTTTTCTCATGTACATGATTTGATGATAATAGGTGAACAGTTTTCTCATGTACATGATTTGATGGTAATAGGTGAACAGTTTTCTCATGTACATGATTTGATGATAATAGATGAACAGTTTTCTCATGTACATGATTTGATGATAATAGGTGAACAGTTTTCTCATGTACATGATTTGATGATAATGGGTGAACAGTTTTCTCATGTACATGATTAAAATTATATATGAGTGATTGATGTCAATCTTGGAAGTGTGTAAAATGACATTTGCAAGTCATACTGCCATAAGAAACATACCATACACACACCATTTATTTATGCAATATGTAATCTATCAATGTATCATGCATTTCAGGATTTAAATTAAAAAAGAACTGAACAACTAACATATCACTTTTTATGTGGCTGTTTCGACTAGGGTCTGTGACCATTTTGGCTATTCTGTGTGGACGCTTTGACTATGGTGTTTGTGACCGGATTAACGTCTGGCGTTTTGATCTGTTCCCGTCATATAAGCTTTTCATAAAACAATCTCCCTGTTATTATTGTGGTAATATTTCTGACAAATGATATGAGCTTAAAATAACACTGAACAACAATATATTGCGAATTTTAAAAACTAGCTTTAGCAGACCAAATGAGACATGTCATAACCAATTCATTGAAGGGCAAATATAGTGCAAAAATGATTGCGATTTTGTTGCGAACATCAATTTGCAGTCCCGAGAGAATAGACAATCATAGCATTCGTAGAAAGTATATAAATGTCCAAGTAAAAGTGCTGTAATTACATGCCCTCTAATCGGATTCCATTCTAGTTTGGTACGTGGCTTAAAACTACCAGCGCAAAGGTGCAGCGGTGCGTGACACATGTTTTCATTCAATTATAAATAGACTACTGTATTATCAATCTTGTGATGTTAAGCAGCCCTTTAATGAACCGCCATGGTCCAAACAAGATAAACATATAATGGTTTGGCAAAAAATGGAACAAATATGTTCAGTCCCAGAACAACTTAAACGTAGTAAGGGTAAGAATTTATGGATGAACAACTTCTTTATTACAATTAAGAGCAACGTTTCGGTGTAGGTTCTAACACCTTACTTACTTACTTACTTACTTTGGAGATTTAACGTGCGCTTTCCGACTGATGCGTATTTCGCACACGGGCCCGGCCAGGCCATTTAATGTGTTTCCGAAAGGGGCGAAGGTGGTCTGTGCAACCCAAGAGGGGGGTTTTAGGGGTTGCTTATATAGAATTTGGGAATTTTGAGATTTGGAATAGATGCCGATGGGATTGGGGAGGAGAACTAAGGGAGCTGGGTATGGTGGATGTTTGTTTGTTTATGTGATTTTGATTTGGTAGGTTATTGTGTTTTTAGATGCGTTTTATTAGTTCCGTTTTTATTAAGAATACGCCTAAGGCCTTGAAGTTTTCTAGTTTATTTTGTGGGTTTAGTATTGCTTCTAGAGTTAGAGCCTTGTTTAGATTGAGGGTGGTTTGTAATGCGGTTCGATGTGTTAGGTAGTGTGTGCAGTGGATGAGTGCGTGTTCTGGGGTTTCTGGTTGTTTGCAGTGTGGGCAGTTACCTGTAGTGTGTTTTTTAATTTTTTTTAGGTGGTTATTTAGGTTGGTGTGTCCTGTTTGGAGTTTAGTGATTACTCTGTCGATTTTTTTGGATGGATGGAGAATTTTTGGTTTGGTTAGTGGTTTGCTGAGCACTTTTTTGATTTGGCTATTTGAGTTTAGATATAGGTTATGCCATTTTTTTGTTCTAACACCGTTATCAAGCAAGTGATATACAGAGTGTGGTTGGCAAGTATATATACAAGTAGGAGGCAATGTTTATACAGTAGAGTAGATATTGTTATACTGGAGTAGAGACGCCTGTATGTACACACAAGGGTAGTGATGACAATCATCGGTGAAATCAGTGACATAAACAAAGGATGAAGCCAGTAATATAAACAACGGGATTATGGCTGATTGGGGTCTTTGATGAGTTGATGGTATGCCGGGGGTATGTTATAGCCTTGGTCACGGTTGATTGACGGCTGGAGTCTTTTGATGTTGATGGCTTCTTGTAGTTTCCTGATCTTGAAGTCTTTGAGGTTGGTGGTGAGGGCTGTGACTCTCTCCTACTGAATGCTGTGGTTTGGGTTCTCCTATGTAACCTTGGCCACAATTGCATGGAATGTGGTACACTGCTCCTGATGGTTCTATTTTGTGGCTTAATGGTGGTTTCCCTGTGGCTATAATTGTGTTCTGAATGGTATGACTTCTCTTGAAAACTACATCAATGTTGGCCTGTTTCTTTAAGAGTCTCTGGATTTTGTGGCCAACTGTTCCAAAGTAGGGGAGACTGATCACAAAGGGTGCAGACTGTGGACATGGGGATTTCTGATATTTCTTGGTGATGTTCTTTATCGTCTGTTGTACTAGTTGCTCAGGATAGAGGTTATCCTGTGTAAATACTTGTTTGAGGTGGCTTATTTCATTAGTTAGATGTTGCTTTGTGGATGTTGTGAGGTCGTCTTGATAGGGTTGAAACAATTCCTTTCTTGACTTGAGGTGGATGGTTGGAGGCATAGTGTATGTATTGATCTGTGTGGGTAGGTTTCCGATAAACAGTGGTCTGGAGTTTGTCGTTATTATCTTTTGTACGAGTATATCAAGGAAGGGGAGCTCCATGGTGAACTGCATTCGTGGGTTTTGGAAATTCAGGTGGTCCAATAGAGTTCTGGGGTCATTGTTGAGATTTAGGATGACAAAGGTGTCATCAACTTTGCGGAACCAGCAAAGTTATTGGGGATGTTTCCAGGGCTTTGTCTTCAAGGTGGGTCATAAATATATCGGTGACCAAGGGTGATAGTGGGGATCCCATTTTTCAATATGGTCATCGGGGCTGCCATATTAAAAATCGGATTCGAACCTCTAGAACAAATGTGTGTCATCATTGGAGGGAATCAGCATACAAACTTCAATTTCATTGGTCCAGTGGTTTCTGAGTTTATTATGTCCACATTATGGGGTAGTGCAGTTTGAGAGCATTAAAGAGCGTAGTCAAACTTGAAAATGTAGTGAAAAACAGAAGATATACATGTATGATGATCCCCACTATTAACTACACATACACCGAATTCCATTACATTTTGAAAAACACTTTGTGAGTTATGCTCATAGGAAGTTTCAGCTTTCAGTATGGTCAAAGTCCCAAGGACAAGTCAAAGTCAAAATGTAATATATATGTTGAGCCCCATTACAAGTATGCCGGGCGCCAGTAAAACAGGTCATAACTTAAGTTCACTTGAATTTAAAAAAATACACTACCTGGCTGCTCACTCGTAGAACCTGCTCTGTTACATTGAGCTCTCGGGGAAGATATAGAGGGATATAATCTTTACCGGGTAAGTATGTTTATTTGTGTCAGGAACTTACAATATCCATGGTGACATCAACGTCCACAAATGCAGAGCCAACGTTTGTTATACGAACTAAAGGTGTGTTGTATTCACTTATCCGAGCATTTTACAAATGTCTGCATGTATCCCTTCGTCACACACACTCTTCTCGTATGATTCCATTTTTGCTTTAATAACTGTTTTATATGAGGCATACTTAAAGGTGTCTCAATGATCTTGTTCTGCCGTTTAAAGAGTTATAATAATATGTATATCTTATAAGTGGTATGCATGTAGCTCACTACATGCACACGGTTGGATACACCATCATTGAAGGGGGGAGGGCGGCAAATTATTAAAATCCTCTCGCAGTAAATTTTACCGTACTACATTTGGTTTTCAAAAAGGGGTGGTCCTGACCCCGTGGATAATATAATATGTACTACCGTCCATTAGATAGAAACACAAATTAAGAATTAAATAATTTTATTAAACAATAATAAAGTGTAAAGTATAGAAAAGTGAACAAAAAATGTTTGTTTGTTGTTTAACGACGTACTCAGCAATATTCCAGCTATATGACGGCGGTCTGTAAAAAATCAATTGAAGGACCAGACAATCCAATGATTGAAATCATGAGCATCGATCAACGCAATTGGGATACGATGACATGCATCAACCAAGTAAGCGAGCCTGACCACCTGATCTCGTTGGTCGCCTCTTACGACAAGTACAGTCGCCTTTTACGGCAAGCATGGGGTGCTGAAGACCTATTCTACTCCGATTCTTTACAGGTGGAACGAAAACTGACAATATCACACCAAACATTTCTGTTACATTTTAATGTCTTTCAAAATATACACCAAATTCACACTTATCTGGCCTATAACAGGTTTTTGTCAAACAATAAATTATCTTCGATTCAGACAGAAAATGACTGAAATAATCGTCGGTGGTGGAGGCGGGATTCAGGGGGTTAAACCACACCCTCCCCCCAACCCCTCTCCTTTTGAAATCCACAACCTGTGAAACTTCCCTCCCTCAACGAGGGTACAACAGTTCATTTGAAAAACTGGATACACCTGTGATTATTTATAATAGACACACATCAGCATAATAAACAATTAAAGATGTATGCAAAAGTTACCTTTATATATTTATATATTATTAATATATTTTTTTTCGATATATCTTCCGTAATTTTACTTGTTATCACATCCTTTTCTCAATGCTTTTGTGATTTGTGTTGACAGCTGGTATTCTGGTTTCACGGGTAGGCAAATGAGACTCAGAGGGAAAATTAGATAGTATTCGGGGATCAGGGGAATTGGAGTTGGCATCCTAAAAAATGTAGAAAAGTTCATCCTGCATGCTTTGTGAATAACATAAGAGATCCCAACTGAATCAGACAAGGATTTCAAGTAGGCACGATCATGAACGGAATATGTGAATTTATGTACACAATAATTGTGCCAAATATATAACCTTGGCATGTAATCTGATCAATGTGCATGATCCTTTGTAATTGTTGTACGATGGTAGGCGAGGTGAGGTGAAATGGGGTTTAACGTCGCGTCCAAGATTATTGCACTTATATAGCGACGTGCATGCATGTGTATGTGTGTGGCTGATTGTACTAGTCCGGACCGGGTTTGTGTGGATCTCTCTAATAGACAGAAGCCTCAAAATGCAGGGAATCACAAAATGGCTTGTCCAGTCGGTTTCCCTTTTCCTCTTCTCTAAATCGGCCTTTTCGGTTGGTAATTTCAAGGAATGACACTTGGTACGTTTGTTTGATGAACTAGTACAGCCCCGCGTCCACACAAGTAGGAGATAAACACCCTGTGTTTTCAATGTAGAGCTAGGTTACCTGTAGTGTTAACCGCGCTTAATTGAATTTGGAACCGAACGCGCAGCGCTACATTGAAAACACAGTAAAACTATGTTTATCTCCATTCTACCATGACTAAATAAATCGCGAACTCTTTGGTGTCAGCAAATATATTGAGTGAAACGGCATGGGTTGAGAACAGTGTTTTGAGTGGGTTATCGATCTGAATTACGGAATTCCGAACAAAATATGGCGGTGTATATACTCAAGCAGGTTGTTTACACCGTAATACTTCACTCGAACATATAACAGGCATTGAAAGCATATAAACACGGCAGCGTGGTAAGCTAACATGAGGTGGGCATCCCTAAAGAAAACTAAGCAGGCTTTGCAAGGCTTTCGCTCACATCGCTCGTCACCATTATGACGTCATATCGCTCATTGTGACGCGAAAGATATGACGTCACAGTCGTATACAGAAAAGCGCCAAAATTCCAAGCTCTCTGTTGTCTCCAAAACGTAAATACATTCCCTTTGTAGATTTCTATCGTGTTTTCTGCCCGAAATGTATTGCCACACATCTTTTGAATATTGTAGTAACCGCATCTGTGCATTTTGTAACCTCTAATCGTAGATATAATTATTTAAATATGCCTACCGACAATGACTGAAAATAGTACTATTCTATGAATATTAGCTTCCGCGGTGATGCGGCCGCCAAACCGTCTGTTTCAATCAGAGGGGGATTATTGTGATATAATAGCCTCTGATTGAATTCATGGTAGAATACCAATTTTGCGTCTTCAATAAGCCGAAAATTACGGAAATCACTTCATTGCCATATAGACTAATGCACTGTAAACGAAACAAAATGGCGAATTGGCCTCCAGCTAGGATTTCAGACACAACAGAACAGAATTTTATTTACGCTCAGGCCGGGATCCTCAGCATATGAGGTACAAATTTGCAAACAGTAAATATATATTAAGATGGCGGGGTGGTTTACATGGAAGATTTTTGCAGTTTTCATAATGACATTACAGAATTACAGAGTTTCTTAATAACATTTATTTGTTTACAATAAAAAAGGGTTTTATTAAATTTAAACATATTTCGGTTTTTAGCATACGTAATTCAAAGTATATGGCCTCAGAGGCAGATTCACAATTTGTTTTTATAGAAGTTTTGAAAGAGTTTTTATTTGTATAGTGAATTCCAAGATATTTATAATCAATGACATATTCGATTGGTGAGCCATTTAATAATGTACGTTTACTCTTGACTCTTTTTGTACCACCAAAAAACATAATTTTTGTTTTACTAGTATTAATATGCAATCTCCATTTTTTGCAGTAAAGTGAAAAAATATCAAACATATTTTGTAAATTTTGATGATTAAAAGCTAACAAAATTGTATCATCTGCATATAGTAATGCGAACAAAACAACGAAGAGATCTAACAGACTATTAAGTGACTGAGATTGAATAGAAACACTAGGGCAGTTTTGAGACTATAAAAACGGTTCCAGATTATTTTGAAACAATGAAAACAATTTTCTCCTTGACGGACACAAATAAGACAAGGGAATTGTTTTGAATATACACCGTTTGAACACACACATGATTTAATGCCATCGTACATATTAACAATAATACGAATAAGATTTCCATCAATACCTTATGCTAATATTGCTTTCCATAAACCTATACGCCAAACATTGTCAAAAGCTTTTTGGAAATTAACGAAACCACAAAACATTTTTTTCATTCTATTTTTTTAGTAAATCAATAATTGCACACAGGGCAAAATATGATCATTTGTGGAGTATTCATGTCTAAAACCCGCTTGTGATTCTGACAGAATATTATTACTTTCAAAATAATCGTTTAAACTTTTAATTAATAACTGAGGTAAACACTTTTCCGAGGCAACTTATAAGATGGGCCGAAAGTTTCCAGCTCATCTGTACTTCCCTTCCTTTGTAGATCGGACGAATAATTCAGTTTAACCTTTGTTCGGGAAACATCCAAGTGTGAAATATAAGATTAAACAGTCTGGTATACAAGGGTAAAAGTGTTTGCTTTGATATATTGATTGATAATGTTATCCTGGCCACATGCCTTGTTATTCTTTAGTAGTTTGATGGCGCATTCAATTTCTTGTTCGCTTATATCAGTGTTTTAAATATCATTACAATTATTGTCATCAAAAGAAATATCAAAATCAGTCGAATCATCAGGGATGGAGTCTACATTATCTGCATTTAGGTTTTTGAAATAATCAAAGAGTGTATCGATAGGTGGCAAATATGCATCATTATCTTTTTGACGTAACATTTTCCAAAATGAACGGGTGTCTTTTATCCGTAAATTAGAAATATTGTTTTGCATTTTAAAGTGGTGACTATTATAGAATTTGAGAAGGTTGTTTTTTATAACGTCGACTACTTTATAAAAGTTTTGTTTTGTAAACTTTTATGTTGATTAAAATTCCGTTGTGCCTGGTGATACCGTCCCCTACTGATGTCACATTGGCCTCCGAACCAGGGCTCAGATCCGGGTCTACGTCGGTAGATGATTGACACGCTTCAGGCCAAATGCTGATTTTGCTGTGAGTTAGAAAACGTTGTTAATATTATGTCCAATGAGGTTTACATCGTCATTACAAATATCACCGGGCACCAAGGAATCAATGGGAGACATCATACAAGAAATATCACTGTTTTTGATTGTACAAAATCGTCAGCATGCCTCTTATCCCAGCGTCTCAGAATTCCCGTGGAGTCAGTGTTGTCAATTTCAGAGTCTGATTGACAGATGTCCCTTGTTGATTGGGTTTGACCCGTGATATTGTTAACATTTGTTGATTCACATTTTAAAAGCAATTTCAGAGCGCATTGGGCATCAGATAAAATAGGATCAAATTTTTCAACTTCAAAATCTGAAACATCTGAATCTGAAATTTGAAGTGCCTAGAGAAGAGACGGTATAATCAATGCCACTGCAATTTTTACATGTATTTTCCATACACCCGTATCTTGACCAACTCTGCCATTTGCTATAAACAGTGAGTTATTTTTACACATGTATGTGAGTTTATGTCCATGATTATTCACTCAACCAGAATCACTAGAACACCTTGTGTCTGAAATGCCTAGGTCAGATAAGCAATCAG